CATTCGTGATGGACGACATCGAAGCCATGCCGCTGTACAATGTTCCGTGCGTCAGCAGTTCCATCGGTATTCGCTGGTTCCCACCGCATGCTAACAGAATCAGAGCTATGATGTAGGACCGGAACCAGTGACTATGGCCTACATACCATGCAGACTACATAGTGTCACTGAACGAATTTGGATTGTAGAAAATACCGAACAAACATCGGGGGAGAAAGAGAATTTCTGCAAATTAATTCCCAGAACGTGATCTCTCTTTTCTGTTTATGTTTTTCATTAGAATATATTTAAAATGAGATTTTATTGCTTGGCATTGACACACCGCAAATTTTTGGCCACAGCACGTGTGGGATCATGAGGTCTCTGTATGCATGACCTCACACTCGGGGCCGGATATATGCTTTCCTGAGCCGCTTTACCAACTTGCACTGGACTTATCGTCTCGGGAAAAGTGACCTGGTCAGTTTTCCTGAGCAGCAGTTGGCCAGTAGAAGTAACCGCTGGAATCAGGAAAAGTAACTGAGAGGAAAACGTCCTAAGCTGTCCACACTGGACTTAAGATAGGAAAAGTACCCATATAGTCTCGGTAAGCTTTACCAAAAAAAAGGTCCAGTGCGGACAGGGCTTAAAAAGGCCTCGGCTAAAGCTCAGGTACAGGTAAACCTGCTGAAGAAGCTTGCTGGTACTGAATGAGGTGATAATTTTACTACACTTCACACCTCAGCTTTGGCCATGATATTTTCAACTGCTGAGTATGCTGACTAGCCTGGAGTCACAGTCACCACTCAAGACATGCTGATGTCATTTTGAACCATGCACTACGCCTCATTAGTGGGGCACTCACTCCAACACTTCGAGTGCTGCTCCCTGTTCTGTTTGGAATCCACCCTGCAAATATCAGAAGAGACCAACCTATCCTCCATAATGCAGTAAAAATCAGAAGAAGTCATGTTGTCACCAGAATTAAAAAAAACTACTGTTTACATCCTCTCGCACCCAACTAGCCAGACGAACAAAAAAGTAATGCGACCCCCTGCCTACTTACTGCTGATTCTACACCCTGCCTTGTATTATTACAGACAAATATTCACAGATATATTCACAAAGTTTTCCAAGCTCAGTTACTATGCAATTGTTACAAATCAAATGCCAAAAGTCTACTTTGTGTGTGTGTTTTGTACTTAATAGTTCAGCAATAGGATTTCCTATATTGTAAGCAGTTGCTTAGGACATCCTGCATAACAATATTAAACAAATATTTATAATTACCCAAGACAGTTTATCCATTTCTATTGGTTGAGAGCCTGTTACATGGCCAGTCTTAAGTGGTTGATGCAACACAGGCTGGACGTGTTTAATACCAGCCAGAATAAAGGTACCGGTAATTCAAGATTTGTTTTTTTATATGTTTGTTAGGTCATACACATTTGCACAAAAAGTGTGTGAGGTCATGAAGACGTCGTCAAAAATTCAATTATTTAAATCACATAAAAGGCTATTAAAAGTCTGATTGTCTTGAAACTTGGTACCGCAGGTGGGTACATACTACTACTAGTGTACAAATCCGAAGTGACTTAATATGACATCATCCACTGATTTTTTATTCATTTTTTTAATTTTTACTTTTTCTTCTACTAGCAAAATATGACATAAAATGCAATCCGATTGACTTCAAACTAAGGACAGACAAAGAGACCAAGGTTAAGTGAGCCATAAACAAGTGATGTCGATGTCACTTGTGGCGTCATCTAAAAGGTATATATTTTATATCTAAAGAACTGTAAGTTTGATTGGGTTGGAACTTGGTGTGTACATTGACAGGGACATATTACAGACAAAACTTGGGGTGACGTCGCAATGACGTCATCATGAGACATCATCTTAAAGGTGCATATTTTAAAGTCCTACATCTGGAGAACTACAAGAACAGCTAAGTCATGGAACTGGAAATCTCATGATAACACCATTAATTCCAAAACGAACCATCGTTTAGGCTTTATCGGGCATAGAATGTTGAGCTTCTCCATCTGCCATCTTTTGCTTGTACAGGTCCCTTGTCCTTCCTATTTTGAAATATTGTTTACCTGCTTGGGACCCCTGTACCTCTGCTGATCAACAAAAGCTTGAACGTGTTCAACGCACAGCTACCCGTATTGCTCTAGGTCAGCATAGGGGGAAATATCATCTGAGGATAGACTCCATAGGATGAATTGGTCAATGCTCACTTCCAGAAGAAATTGTATTACATTCTCATTTGTTTTTCAAGGTATTATATGGTCTAGTACAATGTGAATCTATCCATGAGAACCTTCATATTAATCCTCGTCATTCAAACATCCTCACATTTCGTCATCTTCCTGCTCGTACTGATGCTTTATTCCATTCACCAACCCGTCGCTTTCCTAGACTCTGGAATCACTTACCTACTTCAATCTGGGATTCTGCAGTGCTTGATTCATTAAACTCATTTCTAGCCAGTCTCAAGGCACACTTCCATGACCAGCACACATTATAGTGCTTTTAAGGTAATGTTAAGTTTAATCTTCAGAATTCCCTTTATTGTGTTTAATTCCCTACCTTTTGTAATTTTGTTCTTTTAAGGTATTTATGAATGGGATTATACTCGGACTCAATAAGAATGAAACTCAAGACATAACTTTTTGTGCATCTTCGCCACAGCTTCAAGTTATTTATTTCAACCTTTGTTCATTTGCCAGATACCGAATTGATATGGGCAAGCTGGCATCAAGTCATGGGACTAACAGGCCCAAAACAAACATGTCAAACACATAATGGACTCTCAGGTCCCGTACATGTACATGTACGTCAATTATCAATTTGGCTCCCAGGCCAACCATTAATGAATGGGCACGCATATGACCCAGTCCACATCTGTGGGGGCAGCCATGGCTGCGCTATGGAAATACAGCACATCCGACCCCTGGGGTATGTAAGGGGGAGTGGCTGCCCCTTACAAAGTTCAAATCACATTGTATTACTAAAAACATCAATATCAGTATTAAACAATATCAGCAACAATATCAGTAACATACCCATAAAACTAATGCTACATGTAAACTCATGTGTGTACATGTACATGTATTAGGCATGGGCTGTCTTCGAATCCTGTTAAAGGTGTAGTCCATCATTTGTAATTTGTGCATTTTGTTCGTTTGAAGCAACAAAAGAGTTCAAAATCTAATGAAGGATACTAAGCAACTAACCTGATGAAGTTTCAGCTAAGCTTCAGCTGTATATTCCGAGAAAAACAGCATTCTAAGATCTCAATTTCAAATCAAAAGTTGCTGAATCATGTTTTGAATTGTTTTGAATTGCAACTATACGCGACGTCGCGCACTGATCCGACGAATTATAACAACCGCGCGCGCGTGTGCGTCGTTCGAATACTTGTGCGCGCTGCGCTGAATAACAAAACGAACTACTAATTTAAATTTTCCTACGGTGCTTCTTAAGAATCACCGTTGGAACTGCCTTCTTTCGTTGATTACTTCAAAATGACAGCTTCCCAGAAAGAATAATTTCACAGGGAGTTTAGTCTCCTTACTATCTTTCAACCAAGTTAGTTTTTCAACAATAATTACGCCAGTTACTTTTCGGATGGCTGCAAATGATGGACTCTACCTTTAAAGACGCCATTCGAATAACATACAAGAGTAGGCAGGAGCTGGGGTGGTGGTGGGTAAATTTATCCAGCTTGCACTAAGGCCCAAAAAAAAAAATATTCGGTCTCTGGTCAGACCAAAGTTCCGGAATTGACGCGGCCACGCGGCTTTTTTTTTTTCTTCAAGCTTGGATTGTACAGACAAGGTAGGGTACTATTTTTTTTTTTTGGTGTCCTCATGTACATTGGTGTCCTCCATAATTTGCCTTGGTGCTTTCGATCATTTGCCTTGGTGCAATTTCCAATTCCTTGGTGCTCTTTGGTAAAAAAAAAATTGAGGAGGTGCGGAAATAGAGGGCGCTGTTGGAGCTACCGCGGAACATTTTGGAGAAAAAAAAAGATCGACGCGCATGATTAAAATCGACGCGCGCGCTGACCAGAGACCGACTTATTTTTTTGGGGGCCTAAAAGCTGTGACAGAATGAGACACACACAGATGTGCATTTTCCCTCCTACACTTTAGCACTGTGTTCTACAGCTGTGTCCTGATTGGTCAAATCTTGGTAATGGTCTAACATGATTGGTTAAAACTCCCTGTTGTGATTGGTCAAAACTATGCATAATTAGTGCCAGGATCCTTCTCAGAATCCTTCTCAGGATCCCATCTTTTGGAGAAAAGTCAATTTTGCAGGTATTTAAAGGGTTAAACAATGGGAATTTGTTGGGTTGTAATAGAGCATTTTATACACCTCACATTATTAAGCTGTTAAAATTTACACACTGACCCTCATGGCAGTGTAAATTGCAAAATAAGCCGGTTGAAACCATGAGTAGCAGTAAACCCATGTTTCCCCAAGTATAATGAATTTTGTCAAAATACATGCGTTGTGACAAAATCTCATAAATATGGGCTTAGTCGTTGTTGAACACTCCGTTTGAGACCGGTTTGGAGTCTGGACGCTGATAATGCACATATTTATTCCCCCCCCCCCCCCCCAAAAAAGGGACATTTTCCTACAAAAAATATGATGGGCTCTCGACCAAAAGGGATGGGTAAACTCTATTAGGTATTTATGAATGGGAATTGAAAGATGATATGAATCACCATACTCATCTTGTGAAAATCATTAAACTGATATTTAAAAATGTACAGTGAAATTTCGATAAGTCAAACTCTAATAACTAAAAACTGCTGATAAGTTAAACAAAGATTCCATTCCCTTCAGTAGTATAACAATGATTTACAACCCTGCTTAACTCAAAACTCTGCTTAAGTCAAATTTTGAACCTGTTCCCTTGAGGTTTGACCTATAAAGATATGTTTATTACATGTAGTTGCATTTCTTCCCTGGATCTTTTCTTTATTTTGTAACAACAGGTAACAACACTTAATCTTGATGGGCAGCATATCAGCAAATTGTCCAACCTAGAGAGATTAGTAAATCTTCGATGGGCTTCCTTCAATAACAATGACCTGACAAAGATCGAAGGCTTAGATGAATGCACACAACTAGAGGAACTTGCTCTTGAGGATAATTGCATTTATAAATTGGAAGGTTTGTGTAAATAAATTCTGCAAAACAAATGCAATCACTTAAAGGTACAGTCCATCAATTGTATTTTGTGCATTTTGTTCATTAGAAGCAGCAGATGTGCTCAAAATCTAAGGGTGCTGAACAACTAAACCTGATGACTTTTTCAGTTCAGTGAATGTTGTATATTCCGAGAAAAACAACATTCTAGGATCTCGATTTCAAATCAAAGTTGCTGAGTCATGGTTTGAATTGGGCCTGAATTTAGTGTCCGAGACATGTTTTCACTGAGCTGATTGTAGCTATGCGATGTTGCGCATTGAATCAACAAATATAGCCATGCATCGTGTCAACGCTTGCCCAAATAAAAAGAACTACTGACTGAAATTTCCAACAAAAGATGCATCGTTGGTTTTCTTTCACTGATTTCTTCAAAATGACAGCATGTCAGAAAAAAATTTACAGGGAGTTTAGTCCCCTTATGTTTTTCAAAAATAAATTACGTCAGTTACTTTTTGGATAGCTGCAAATGATGGACTGAGCTTTAAGCAAAAAATGCAATCAAGTCAGTAATGTTTTGTTTGTTTCATTCTTTTTTAATCGCACATGTTATGGGGGTCCGCTCATAAGTCTGACGCCTCATAGGTCCAACGCATCATAAGTTCAATGTTTCATAGTCCGAGGCCTCATAGCTCTGACCCCCATAGGACCGACAATTAAATTTACTTTTATTTTTCTGTCCATAAGTGCGACGCTTCATAAGTCCGATGCCTCATAAGTCCGACGCCTCATTAGTACGACAGCCATTATTTATTGCATAAAATGTCAGAATGCTAGTGCCTGTAATAGTTAGAGATAGTGATTACACATTGACATTAAGGGATGCACCAGACCCCCCCCCCCCACCCCCACCGTAGACAACCTCGCGGGCTTTAAATGTTGGAATTTGTTTTAAATCTCGTTCTTCCCTTGTTGGACAAATGAACCTTTCCTGGTAATGGTCCATAGCTCCAACGCCTCATATGTCTGACGCCTCGTTTTCCAACGTCAGACTTATGAGGCATCGGACCAATTAATGAGGTGGAATAAATAAATTGTATGCCTCATAAGTCCGACGTATCATACGTCAAAAATTTCAGACCTATGAGGTGTCGGACCTATGATACGGCCCCATGTTAAGTTATGGTAATAAAAGGTCAAAAAGATTGTATGCAACCTAGAATTACATAAAAGGGCAAGTATAAGAATTCACGCATGTTACATCCCATACGTAACAACCATACATAACAAAGTTTAACCCTCTGGATTTCAGTGTTTTTTATTCCTCTATTGGACATCTGCAAGGAGAATAACAACAAGAATGTTTATGTTATTAGTCTTTGTGATGATTATTTAAATTAAAGAAAATGGTGTGTTAAGTATAGGACACAATGGGACCTTTTCTTGGACTTGCCCAAAAGAATCCAGACAAAATGCCCCAAGCCTTTTCAAGGTGTGTTCTCTGAACTTTTGTAATTGAAACAAGCAAATTAACATAATATAGAAATGTTGTTTTTTGTTTAATAATTCGTTTTTTGAAAAGTTGAACCAAGAAATTGACTGGAGCGGGGTTTGAACCTGCGACCTGTGGATTATTAATCAGCCCTATCCTTGCGATGCTGTACCAAATGAGCTCCACCAACTGAGCTATTCAGCCCCATGTAATCCGGAGGTCGTAAGTTCAAACCCCACCCCAGTTAATTTCTTTGATCAAGTTTTCTAAAATTGTTATAATTCACTAGAGTCGTTTCCCTTTGTGGTTCATTTGAGCTAGTCTGTAATAAAAAGCCATATCCTCTCTGAGAGATCCATATACTATTTCCCAGGTCTGCATTGTGACTTTTGGTGTGATTCCTGGCTGCATGGCATACTGGTTTATGGCTTATGACTAACGCCCCTTGAACAAAGATATTGACAACTTGGGGAACTGCCAACATAGGGCTGGATAGCCCATTTGGTAGAGCACCCGAGCGGCAATCCAGTGGTTACAGGTTCAAACCCCTGCTCACTATGGTCACTATTTTGCCAAAGAATTAATGTATCAATCTACATTTAATTTGTAATCTCTCATTGCTGTTGATAGGCATTGGTAAACTGACGAAGCTGCATACCTTGAATCTCAGCTCCAATAATATAAGCACACTAGAAGCAGCAGGGTTGGAGAGGTTGACCCAACTCCAGTGCCTAGCTGTTTGTAACAACAGGATCTCATCTCTTGCTGGACTAGCAAAAACACTGTCCCTTTTGGAGTTATACATTGGGAATAATCGTATCCAGAATATCAGAGAGATTTTCAATCTCAAGGTAGGTGCATATGATGCTTATCCAGCAAACAAGGTAATAATACTTGATTCTCAGCAGAACTAGTTTAGTCCAAGTTTGATTGATTGAGGTACCAAAAAGATTGTTTTTTCAACATGTCCCCCATGTTCCTTATAGGACTGCAATCTTTTCTGTTAATTGGTGTTAGGCTAGGGGCAAGTCACAAACCTCCAAAAGGTTTGTTTTGTGGTGACATAATGGGGAAGAAAATATCATAGGCTACAGTTTACCCTTTTATGCAACACATATCTGTTTTATATATTAACGAGGCTTGGCCTCGCCCACTATGCTGGGCAAAGGACAATTGAAGAGAAATAGACAATTTAAGTGCATTTTTCTAAGTACATAACTCCCCCGTCATTTCATATTGTGCCATTCAAATGCTTAGAATACGGCAATACGTACACTATCAAAAGCCCTGTCAAAGTTGCCATTCACTGGGCTACTTGCTCTGATTTCGAAGGAATTCTTAAAGTGTTTGGACCTCTGTGAACTTAAGTTACGTAACCTAGTTGCTATGGGATTTAAAAACTGTTATAGAAGAACATGTTATACTTATATTTTTGGGTATTTAGTTTTACCGCTATTTAGGCTTTTTATACAGCTGGTTAAATTGAAGCAGGTATGTACAGATATGTTCAATGCCTTTTTATTTGCATAGGGATCATTTGGATAAAACATCATTTGGGTGTTCCGCTTTACCCTGCCTGTTAAGTAACATACATGTTAAGAACCATTTTAGCTTTTCTAGTCCATCGCCTTTTTACCAATTCAAACTACAGTAAACTCCGGCTAAACCGACATCGTACAACTCGTCAAATCGCTCAAGGTGGCCGTCTGACTAAAGGCCCGATTGTCCGTGATGCATTTCCATTGAATTTTTTATTTCTAAGTCCGCTTTTGTAAGTCGCCATTTCGCTCAAGTCGTCGTGTTACTCTCGGTCCCCTTTCCATAAAAAGCATTACAAAATCCTTTGTGTAAGTCGGCATTCAAAAAATCACGCATTGGCATCGACTTCTTGTACTGCAGTTGGCAAGAAGTGACGAGTGAAAAGTGGTTTGGCACAGCCCGTGATCGATTGCTGCATGCATCGGTGTCGCAAAAGGGTGTCCCAATACCAGTACCTCCTCTAGTCTGTACGCATGCGCTCTGTCCATTTTGGGGGTCGTCTTATTGAATGACTTGTGCTGCAGTCAATGCGTGCGTGGTATACATGTACATACCGGACCACGCACACATTTGATTCGTTACTGTGCACGTACATATGTATTTCCTGATGATTTAAAAATAGCACAGGTTACACCAATCTACAAAAAAGGTTGTAAGCATGATATTGGTAATTATAGACCCATATCGGTATTGTCCACATTTTCCAAATTATTTGAAAAGTTAATTTACACAAGATTAATATCTTTTATGAACAAGCACGATATCGTGTCTGATGCACAATTTGGTTTTAGACAAAAAAAGTCAACTGATCTGGCAACATCCTATGTTCTAAGTAAAATATGTACCGCAATTGAACATAATAATTTCTCGATTGGCATATTTCTAGACTTGTCAAAAGCTTTTGATACAGTCAATCATGATATTTTAATAAGCAAGTTGGAACACTACGGTGTGCGGGGAATATCACTTGACTTATTTAAAAGTTATTTGAGTAATAGAAAGCAGTACGTGTCATATAATTCTGTAATTTCTTCCTATCGAGATATTACTTGTGGGGTACCACAGGGTTCTGTATTAGGCCCAATACTTTTTATCATTTATATTAATGATATCATTAACATCTCTTATTATTTCATTTTTTTTTATTTGCCGATGACACTAAATTTTTATATACTCATAAAAATGTTGATACTGCTATTAGAAACCTTAATGTTGAATTGAAAATAATTAGTACGTGGCTCTTAGCTAACAAACTTTGCATTAATTTGTTGAAAAATCGAACTATATGATTTTTTGTGCCCATCGGTATAAATACACTCAATCGGTTCCCTTAATTTTAAACGATTCCAATCTAAGTCAAGTAAAAAGCACTAAATTCTTGGGCATAACTATTGACGAGAATCTCACTTGCAAAAAACACATCGATGAAATAGCGACAAAAATATCAAAAAATGTTGGCATAATGAATCGTTTAAAATATTACCTCCCCAGTAGAACTTAATTACCTTGTACAATTCCTTTATTTTGCCATATCTAAATTATTCAATTTTGACTTGGGGTGGTTCACCATCCAAATGCAACAAACTGCTCATGTTACAAAAGCGAGCAGTCCGATTAATATCTCATGCTGGTTATCGTGATCGTACCCTTCCTTTATTTGCAAATTTGAGACTCTAACAATTCAATGACTTATACTACTTTAACCAGGGCAAATTTATGTATAGGTTTACACACAATGCATTACCTACTTGTTTCAACCCCTTCTTTATGCTCACATCTGATATTCATTTGTATAATACCCGAAGCACTAGTAGGAGAAATTTATATGTCCAATTCAACAGAACAACATTGTCTAAAAATAGCGTTATTCAACGTGGTACATTATACCAAGGGCGGATCCAGGGGGGGGGCCAAAGGGGGCCATGGCCCCCCCCAAAAACGAAACCAATTTTTTTTTTTTTTATGTGACATCGCAATAAAGGCAGGCAATGAGTACACCACCATCTTTTCCTCAAAAAAACATTGGTTAAAGTGTGTCAGAAATTGCCTCAGATCGCACCACAGAGCATCTAGAATCTTTTCGGGGCCCTTAAAGCGGGCCCCGAACCCCACGCCGTAATTTTTTTTACCCACTTTTTGGGGGGACCAAAATTTTTTTGGCCCCCCAAAAAAATTGTGTTCTGGATCCGCCCTTGCATTATACTGGAATAGTCTAGATGACTTCTTAAAATCAGCACCTTCCTTCTCTGTCTTTGTTAAAAATCTTAGATCACATCTACTCAATTCTTATTCGAACAACTAGTTATAATTTATGAATCTAGATGTATGCTCTCGTCTCATACCAGTTTGTGTTTTTTCTACGTTTATTCGAATAACTAGTTATAATTTATGAATCTAGATGTATGCCCTCGTCTCATACCAGTTTGTGTTTTTCTAGGTTGTGTCTTTGTGTGTCTCATTGTTGTCCATTTTGTCCTTTGTCACAGTCTCTGTTTTCTTGGTCATGTCCACTTAGATAGGTTGGGGTACAAAAGCGTGACGCTTCACCTTATACCTAAATGTTGTCGTAAATTTGTTCTAGTATTGATCCATGTACATTATTATACACAATTACATAACTCCTTGCATTTTGCTCTGTATAATATGGTTACACGGCATTGTAACATTTTATTGTGTGGAAATGGCAACATTGAAATAAATGTTTCTACTACTGTTTCTACTACTATATACGTGGTCTCCACTATCAATACCCCAAATGTGATGATACATTTCGAGGATTAATTTGCTGGATTCAACTCAAGCACTATGGAGATAAACCAGGGTAAATCGTAGCCAATTAGTGCAATGAATCATGTGTGCAAACTGCAAAAGGCCATTCATGTAAGTCGGCAAAATGACGACTTACAGCAGATGTTGGCATTCGCGTAAGTCGTCACAAATTCTCGGGTCCTGAGAGTGCCGACTTAGCCGGAGTTTACTGTACTTAGATAAAGCGTGACTGGTGCTAGTGATGGCCAACAATGAGGCAGAATAGCTATTAATTTATTCATTCCAACATTTATTTCTACATTTCTGACAATTAAAAGACACAAAATGAGTTGATGTATAAATAAAAATGAGAAACTGAATAAGGAGCATAACAAAATATAAAGAATATGAAATACAGGATGAACGAAGCATTAAAATACTACGTTAATCAACAAGTACTGTAAATAATCTGAAAATATTAGGCTCGTCAACAAGTAATAAATTAACAATGCAGCAAATATGGTGGCATGGGCAGAAGCCAAAGGCTTATATTGCCATGCAAAGACAACACAAACAAACAAACAAAACAAACATGAATGGACAAAATAAGAGACAAAGACAAGAACAACTATCTACAGACTAATATAGAGTGTATAAGGAAATGAAGCCTGCCTGCCTAACTAGGAACGAGAAGAAGAGGAGAAAACAAATAAAAGGAAACAGAAAGAGGATATAAACACAGTAGTGAGCGAGTAGCTATGCTATAAAATGGGAAATTCATTTCAATACGGGCTATTCCATATACATAGTGCCACCTAGAGGTTGCTACGGAGAGTTGGTTTTTGCATTGCATTGTTGGAGACGGTCAACAAAAATATGCGTGGCGCAGGACACTTGAAAAATTTAGCAAGTCCGGTCCGGTCAGCAGTGAGTACCGTGCCAGTAGTTTCGCTAGCTTGTGATTCGATTATTTTCATTTTGTTTTATATTTATCGAGATGTTTTTTTTTTTGTGAAGCTGCAGAATGTTATGCCCATACGTCCAAGCTCAAAAAGGCTGAAAAATATGTACGGATAGATGGAATAACATGGATTAAATGGCCAAGCCAAAATCCTGCTACCATGGCGAGATGGAAGCGTCTAATCAGGCGTGGAGGTAAAAACGAGCTGACCATAACCAAGCGCATGGTGATCCCAAGCGCATGGAAATGCCCATGGGGATCCCAAGTATTTCTCATGGAACAACTGGGGAAAACCAGTGAACCCACGATCGCTCGCTGCATTGTAGAAGCTTGATGCAGCCAGAAACAAAACGGAGGAGTCCCTTGATGAGCCTGGCCCTGAAAGGCCTGATTCTAGCTCAATCATGGATGAGGGAGAGAGTGAAGTTGAAGAAAGTTCAATGGAGCTTGGACGTAAGTAACAGTGTCAGTAATCGTGAAAATCTCAGCCTAGGCCCTAGCCTAAATAAATGAACGTAGGCCTAGCCCCATAAATATGGCCAATTCACTGGACTACCTCCGTACATAATTAAAGGCCACACTTGGAATATGTAGGCCTACCCG